ATCGTCATGTGGACGCTTATGTTATTAGATACATGAATGATTGGATCTAGTGCAAGTGAAAGTTTGTAAGTGTTATGCCCTAAATCCAATCGATTTAGGTTGTAAACACTTTTAATATGTTTAATGCATTTATTTTTGGTAAGATCTATTATTTATTTAAATTAATATTCTAATAAATAACATTAAATAATAGAGTTCGAAAATTCAAGTTTAAGTGATTTTGTTAATCACAATGAGTTGTGATTGTGAGATACAAATAACATACGATTGGATCTTGAATAATTCATGGTCGTAAGTAATAACAAAATACAGATATCGTTATTACGAATAGACCATCATGTGTGACATTTTTTCCTTATCAATCAAGTAGTTCCTTATCAATGACGAAGCGATTATAGTTTCATGGTAAACGAATAAGTTTGATTTTGTCATACCACGTGACATTTTTCGTCACATGTGTTGCCCTGATACATTGCTAGATGTCAATCTGGGACGGCGAGTGTAAAATGATGATAAATTAAATGGGTGTTTTAATTTATCAATTTTGATTAGATCAAAATAATATTTTAAGTCGTTAGACGTCGTGATCGAGAACCTAATGTGTCGCACACAAAAGAGAATTGGAAGATTGCAATTTGTCAATTGATTAACTTAACAATCGTTGGATAAATTAATTAATTGGGTCGGTTATTTATAGGCTCAAATTAATTAATTGTATTAATTAATTCACGGACTGAATTTAATTAAATAAATTAAATAAATATTGGACTGGACTAGGCCGAGCACATTTGGGCTTATATAAAACATGGCTAGGGTTTTCAATCTGTAGAGATTTCTCATAATTCTTGCTATCATAAGAGGAGAAAACTCTGGTAGCTGTAATCTGCTCTCTGTGTGAAATTCATTGAAGAATAGACAATTGGACAGCTGTGGGAGGTAGATCCAAGTTGTTGGAACAAAGATAACGCAAAGGAGTTTGTAAATCTAAGAAAAGGTATAACTTTTATCACAATTCCTATCTAAATACAAAAATGAATCCTGGTGGGAATTGAAATTTTTTTTTATTTCCGCTGCAAATGTTAAAGTAAATTCCCAACCATTTATCCACCAAATAAAGTTCATTTTCTATTGAACAAGATCAATCATATTCTTTTCTTTTCTTTTAATATGATATCAGAGCATTAAGATACTCATGTCTATTAATTTTCATTTCCACTAAAATTCTTATATTCCCAGTAACATTACCTTGGCAACAGAAGCTGGTGATCAAAATCAATCAAGCAGTTCCTTATCAATGACTCATTCCGCCATTGATGATGATTACAGCCCTTATTACCTTCATCAGGCTAATAATCCAGGCTTGATTCTTGTCTCACAACCATTAAGCTAGGTTTCATTGATGGTTCTCTACCTCGATCGGAGGGCAATGACGAGTTGCTTAAATCCTGGATCCGCAATAATAATTTTGTGATTTCATGTATCCCTAACTCAGTCTCCAAGGAGCTTTTAGTTAGCATCATATGTGATGATTCTGCATACGAAATCTGGATGGATCTCAAAGAGAGGTACCAGGAAAGATATGGTCCTCGCATCTTTCAGTTAAGAAGGGAATTGATGAACCTCACCCAGGGACAGTCTTTTGTAGGGCTATATCTCCCCAATTTGAAGACTATTTGGGATGAATTAAATAATTACAAACCTACTTGCACCTATGGAAGATGTGAATGTGGAAGTGCCAAAAAGTTAGTGGATCACTATCCCATGACGTATGATATGTCATTTTTTATGGGATTGAATGATTCATTTGCTTAGATTAGAGGCCAATTATTGCTGATGGATCTCATCCCTCTTGTAAACAAGGTATTTGCTCTAGTGTCCCAAAAGCGTCAAGGGAGTGTCAATACCATTGCTAGAACATTTGATCCTACAGCATTCTATGTCATAAATGATGCTAAGAGACCTATA